ATGAAGTGAACGATTGATTGAATCACTTTGAGATAGAGATGGATCAGAGAAAATTGGAGATTGAAGCAATCGATCACCAAGCTACTGATCTAACTTTGGTATCTACAAACAAACAAACAGTAAAACAAATGCATCAGCGTTCATGATCTTAAAATTTGACTAGAAGTGTCAAAGGAGAGAGCGAACAACATTGAAAACGAAAGAAGCGAGCAAGGGATGGGTTTGAATGATTGAATCACTTTGAGATAGAGATGGATCAGAGAAAATTGGAGATTGAAGCAATCGATCACCAAGCTACTGATCTAACTTTGGTATCTACAAACAAACAAACAGTAAAACAAATGCATCAGCGTTCATGATCTTAAAATTTGACTAGAAGTGTCAAAGGAGAGAGCGAACAACATTGAAAACGAAAGAAGCGAGCAAGGGATGGGTTTGAACCTGTCAATCCCCATCCTTGCTGAGAAAAACTGTGGATCTTGAGCAGCCTGAACCTGTCAGTCCTGCACCACACAAAGCGAGCGAATGAAAGATAAAAAAGGGAACGAGATAAGGAGTTCGAAAGGGATTAAAGTGTTGGTTTCAGGGCTCAGGGAGCTCATACTTGAAGGACCGGTTGTTTGGCAGGGTTCTGAGTTGGACATAGCTTTGGGTAAACGGTACCGACTGCCGCTCAAACGGATCCGGTTTCAATAGGTTTTGATTAATGATATTGCTTTTATGTTTACACCTTTGAGTCTTGACTGGTTTAACGAGTTAAATCAGTGTCATATCTGTGACATGCAATAACATGTGACCTGATACTCGTGTGGGGTAAATCAAGCAAGATATCCAGGATCCTTTGTGAAATACAAGTGACAATGTACACACAGTGCTTGCGTCAGCACGTGAAATCCGTTGCCCTTCTGTTATTCCTCAACGAACTCATCCTTGGTGCTGTCTTCCCTTCTGTCTCCATTAATTATCACCTCACTTGAATCTTGCCCCTCTAAACCACCGACTATCTCAATGCCTCGTTTGACTCGTACCTCTTCTCGCACGAATGGTCCTGCCGAACAAACTGCCTCACAACTTAACACAGGTTCCACAGCTACCACTAATGCTCAGTCCGGAAGCAAAAAGAAGTCAAGCAAAAAATCTAAACGTGTCACTCAAACTGAAACTCATCGTGAGGAGAATGAAGATGAAACACACACCAACCAAAACCACGATTCAACAATCAACCAAGACGATTCAGATTTAGATGAAGCCGATAATCTCACAGTTGACAATTACACACAACATATGGACGCCTGGCCTGCTGGTCGTATCCGCACTGCTATCAAAAAGTACAAATCTTCCACTGGGACTCGAGCAAGCAGCGAAGTTCAAGCTAAGGCACAACTTGCCCATTTAAAATACGAGCATGAGTTGTTGATGTTAGCACTGGTTGATAAAGTGCAACTACGGATTATCAAGAAAGCAATGTGATTCATTTATTTTGTTTATTAATTCATTCACATGGCATGCTGATTGATGATGTTTCCGATTTGATCCAGTGACGAAGTCGCACCCAAGAAGCCTTCTAGGAACCTTGACATGTACCTAGCGTATGCAAAAGACGCTCTATCCTTGTCTAGTAAGTTTTTCTGGATTCTAGCTTTAGTTTTGAGTTTCTGACATGTGCAAAAGTGCCCGGAAAAGGCCAGGAAGATGGGGGTGTTCAGTTAGGCGAAAGAAACCGAATCAACTCTGATCGCTGGAAAGCTCTAGACGACGATCACAAAGCAATTTTCTCCCCGTCACTATTCTATGCCTTAGCTGGAGCGCCCAACCCGTTTGCACCGAGTGAGAGCAAAGATCTTGATGATGAAGATGAGGATGTTGGAGATATTTTTGTACCATTACCAAAGGTTAGACGATTAACTGTGGAAGAAGAGGCAAAATATCGACCTATATATGAGAAGATGGTGGACGATGAACGTGTTTCAGCTAACATCTCAAAGCCAAAGGCAGGCCCCTCGGATGGGCTCCTTCAAAGGAAGTCACTGCGAGCATTTCAAAAGCATGCACATGAGGTGAGTATCGTTTGTCAAACACATCTTTTCATATTTGTTTGTCCTTACCAATGCCTGATCATCAACTTGTCTAATATGCTTGTGACGTTTCTTTTTACTTAGCTTGCATGTCTAGCAAATCGCCTCAATTTTGCGTATTATCTTGTGGGATCAAGCACCCTCACTCCAGATAAATCGAACGAATTGGGATGGACAAAGGAGTTTACTACCCACCGACAAGTTGCACGATGGGCCAACAAGACCAGCGGTTTGGCTCGGGTTTTCGCTACTTACGCGCAAGGTTCTGCGATGGCTGATGCCATTGCAGAAGCTACACAAGGACCGGTAAAAAAACTCAAGAGGAAACGCAGTGAGAAGCCTCAACGCAGTGACATTGTCAAGGTCCGACTTGGGAGAATGCTTGTTCAACTGACCGGTATATTCTGATTTGATTTCACTTTACCTCTCTGTTTCGTTGGCATGAATATGTATTGACATGTAGTTTTGTCGTATTGACGTTTATTTTTGTCACAGTCAAGGCTCTTGGCCGAAAACCGACTCAATCTTTCCCCCTGATTGAAGACCCCAAGAGTGCTTTGATAAAACGAAAAGTCCCTGTTGAAATGGTTTGTTTAGAAGGTGTTACTTTGTCTGAGGAGGCCCTCATTTTAGGTTTTAAGAAAATGCGGACCGAGGATCGAGAAAAGTGGGTGGAAGACATCAAGGCTGGCCTTTTTCGTTTGAAAAACATCGAAGGAGTTGAAGAATCAGACTCTGAGGGAGTGGCTCTTAATGCCGAAGATTTGGCAGAGATTGAGAAATCAATGGATGAAGATCACAATATGAACAAAAAAGAAAAAACTGGTGGTAGTGATAGTGAAGACCATAATATGGAGGAAGAGGGGCAAGATGTTTGATTATTTCTCTTGTGTCCATGTTCTTCTATGTTGAAGTTGTTTTTTATAAAGTGATATTATTGAAATTGGAACAAATTTATTTAAATGTATTGAATTGATTTTTTGAATTTGATTTTTTCTTGAAATTGGCTCACTTTGAAATTGAGTTGTTTTTTGTTGGCTGTGACAAGTATCTTGATCCGGTGTGGGATTTCAACTATTGTGCTGAGCGCATTTTTGATATTGGATTGCTCAAAGTTTGATAGAATGAGAAGCAGTCAGACAGGTCTGTATATCTTGATTGGACAGCCTGGGTCTGGTTTTCTTCAATCAGACAAGTCTGGTAATTTGGGTATCACCAGACCTGTCTGAAGGTCCAGACCTGTCTGCTGTATGTCCATCATCCTTGGACAGGTCTGCTCAGAGCTGTCTGGCTGTATAGACATGTCCCAGACGGATCTGGATGCAAGACATGTCTGGACTTTTGTGTTGTTGTGGAAGACCACCAGACTTGTCTGACGCACTCAAAGTGTGTCAGACAGGTCTGGCTTTTTTTTTTTCGAAAATTTCAAGTCTTGGAAGGATTTTTTTTTAAATTTCTCATAGGCCTAATGTAGTTTCAAATGCACAAAAATGTGTTTCTTGATGGTGCAAATTCCAAACAATTTCTACCTTGAGACAAAATGTACAACCAGGATCTGTCTGGCTTATCTGGCGTATCTGCCATGATGCGTTTCGGAAGCTATCCGTAGGTAGTCGCACATTTAACTCCGGGTAGGTCCCGAAGGCTTAAGGCGCCACAGGTGTTATGGGATGAGGGAATTGAAAGAAACCACCAGCGAAATATGGATCCACACCGACGTGAGTCAATTACTTATGGCAAACGCGTGCACTGCCTTATTTCGCCCTCAAAATATTCCTCTTCGCTTTTACATACAGAAGGTCACTTGTGTCCTCAATGTGCAGCACAACTGCAAGGACGCACGCTGCGCTGTCACCAACACAAGGAGTTACCGGCTTGAGAGGACCGAAACTACAATGAAGCGCCCTGAGGTCACACACGCGGCCACCACCTCGTTTATCATCAATGCAGGTGCCCATTATTTTTCGGAATTTCACCGGGAGGTGACCGCCGCTGAGTGGGAACCCGTGACACCTTCAGAATGGTCACAATCGATTACTGAAGGTCTTTCGGTGTGGCACAAGAAATGTCAGCCTAAGGACCAGGATTCTCGTGGTGGGCGTGGCGTGAAAAGCGCGCCTTTGAGGCGCGCCCGGGCGTAGGCGTGAGGGCGCGCCCCAAAAGTTGAAATATGGGGTGGGCGCGCCCTTTCAGCCTGTTCTGCCGTTTTCGGGCTTTCTCGCTGTTTTCTTACACCCCACCACCTCCATTCATGCCAAAGGACAATACCGAGACACCATCTGAGTGGATCTCACCAACTGTAAACTTTGGAAACTGATGGAAAGGTTCCCTTATGTCGAAAAAATCAACACGGCACCAAAAACCGCAGGCTTGCTCAATGCCAGTATTGTAAAGTTACAATATTCAATTTTGAAAATTTCCATTGTTCTCCATCCAAGTAATAAATATCTGCAAGAATTTATCCTCAGGCTTCCCCTTGCAACACTTTTGACAGTTTTTTTGTTCCTTTTTGATTTTTTTTGATTTTTTTTAGTTTTTTTCCATTTTTTTTCGATTTTACGTACTCAAAAGGCGCGCCCTTGACGCCCCCACTATAGGCGCGCCTTTGAAAAGATTTAAAAGGCGCGCTGGGCGCGCCCTAAATCCAAACCTCGCGCCCACCACGAGAACCAGGATATGAATCCGGAAGATGAAGGAGATGAACCAGAACATGACAAGCTTTTGGGTGATCTTCCTTGAGGCCTGAAACATCAAAAGTCATCACATCAAAGTAAAATTTCTACGTAAATAGTTAAACATACAATCACCCCATCTTATTAAAATTTCTACGTATATAGTTAAACATACAATACCACAATCTTCTTAAATTTTTGACGTATATAGTTCAACAAACAATATCCCCATCATGTAGGGTATGAATAGTCTGCATGCGATTGGGTTTTTTAAAGAAATAGGAGAGGCATCCAAATACATGTCATCTCACGTGCCACACTCAGAAAAGTTCACTGCTGAGCCAGTGAACTTGTGAATCTACACCGGACGCTCATTCAGAGCTGCGGCTATTGCCGCGAAATCTTGTTTCAAAATCTGCGGAAATGTTTTGACGCCATCAAACACAAGCCGATTGAGGTCCCGGAGTGTTTTGTGGTACCTGTGAACCACCAAACAATAAAGCGCTGATTATTATTGTTGTGTTCTTAAATGTTGTGGTCTTGTTAACAATATTAAAAACAACCGACCTCTTTTGTTGGGTTTCCGGAATGGTTTGCGTAATGTACGTGATCTTTGCATCAACTCTTTGCCAAATTGGAGGCAAAGCATTGGCCTGCGGGTTTCTACAAACCATTTCAACAGCGATCAAACACTGTAAATGGAGGGTCTCAGTGCGGTCGCCCGTTTTCCACCATCTCCAGATGAGACTGACCATCAGGGCAATGCGGTCCATGTCTTGTTCCGTCAGTTTGCTGAATTTGGCGCCCGTAAAAGAGATTCAAATCTGCTCCTCCCAAAAACCATACCGTTTAATATTTGTTGGTTGGTATTCCACACGCAGATAATACTGACTTTGAGGATCAGGTGTGTGAGGTCTGGAACCACGCCGTTGTGGGTGACGGACACATTAAAAAGCAGCTGGAAAATGGATGGTCAGTCATTTGTTCTTTGCCATTTGGACCATCTCTGACTCACCAAATCACGCAATCGTAATCGCATCATGACCGCGCATTCTTCCACTAGATGGAGCACCTGAAAAGATCTTCTTCGGTTGGCTACCTGAAAACCTTTGGGAAAAGTTCGTTTGAATTCAGGCAGTTTGGCAAGATGCCAAAGCTGACCCTAACATATGTTTCAAGAGTAAAACATCAGTTGTTCAATTTCCACCTCATTTTCCAACAAAATAGTTGATTACTAACCATCAAGAGCCACTCAACACATGGCGTGATTTGCCCTTTATCTTTAAGATAATGAGTGTAAGTTTTAGTTTTCGAATCCAAGAAGTATCGTGTGATCAGGCACTTGATCACAACCTATGAAGGTAACTGCCAATCATGAGCTTCCGCACTTGGAACCGGGGTGGAACCGCTCACACTTACCTTCATCTTGATGTTCACGAAAGGCCTAGAGAGCTCATGTGCGTCCTCACTGATAAATGACCCAGGTGCTAGATTCTTGCGAGCCATGCGGAGCATGCTCGGCGGCGTCTGAGGGTCCTCAACAAGGTTGTCCATTGAAGATTGATCAGTTGCTGGTGTTGTCATCTGTTGCTTTGGGGGATTATAATGAGGATGATGAGTGCCAGAGAGACGCTGATGTCTCCACTCTTCCGCGCTCAATCCCCCCTTGTTTATTTTTTTTGGGGTTGATTCCTTTTGAGTTCCTGCCGAAACCCAAATGGCTTGGGTCCTCCACACTCCTTGATCCTTCTCGTTCATGCAAAGTGCAAGTGGACACACCGAGACGAGACTTTCACACTTCACAGGGGGTGAAAGTCCCTTCTGTGAAACACCCCTGGGGCACGTCTCTTGGGTGGCAATTGAACTTTTGTTTCAAGTCACCCACACCAATCTCCCTCGCAAACGTGCTTGCCGCTGTCACCCTCATTCCCAACAAACCCGTCGAAAACCGCCAATCGCCACATCCTTACTTTACCCTGCGTGGAATGGGATACGGTCAAGGCCTGCTCTAGATGTACGTAGGTACATCTAGAGCAATTCGGGGGATCAACAACCGAAGACCTTATGCAAGGTCTTCGGTTCTGACTAATTACATTCCTTGCTCAACATTTTTGCATCCCTTCAGCTTTATTCGATCTGGTGTTCGCTGCGAGCTTTGACATCGAGATCGTGAATGCGTGCGTGGATACCTTGTAAGGTCCAGTCGACTTATTATAAAACAAACTATAAAACCAATGCAACTTGATCGAGGCCTTTGTGACGCATCAGAAACCCAAAACCTTCCTCTACTCTATCTCAGGTGATTTCAGGACCATTTCCCGTGTTAATTCACTCCACAAGGTCCTCTTGCAGTTGGCAATTTTTTTGAACTGATTCCCTTTTTCCGGGTCTGTGTTCATAACCGACCAAACCGCTCTTTTTTTTAGCTGCACCGGTCAAACAAATCAGGCGTCTGTCATGAGCGATTGGGATGAGATTTTTGGAAGCGGAGACGAGATGGATGTGGAAGATGAGGAATTGCGTGTCCAAACGCTCAACTCCTCTACATTACGTCGTGAGCAAAGCAGCGTCTTGCGTCTTAATTTTAGTTTCTGTTTTCCGTGTGTATTCTGTTCTCATCCATCTACTCACCACATTGTTTCTCGCCGGGACTGTTGCGGGCCTTCAACCAGCCTCGCAAAGCGCGATGTCGATTGAATCTCCCCAGCCCGCGCCTGCTACCCTTTTCCGTCCCCCCCAGCAACGTGTCACTCCTGCCTCAGCACCTTCACGCCAGTCAGCCAGCCGCGCCAGTGTCAAAAAATTTGCCGACCTATTAAAACTCACCAAGGATAATCAAGAGGTATTGCAGAGGATGTACGATGTAAGATAAGAGCCTCAGCCATTCTAAGCTTTTATGGATGCAACTGAAAGAAGTTGAATATTGACTGTGGAGCAGATCACGTCGCCAGGTGAAGAGTATTTAGGGACGCTTTCCTACCTAGTGTTTGCTTTTCAAGAATCCAAAGGTCTCCCTGGGACAAAGTGGGTAGCTAGGCGTGTGATTCGGGTCAGTGTTGGCTCTCTCCGCTCACCACTCACAGGGGCAAAAGTAGATGCTCACATAGGTGTGAGCGTTGAAATTTTTGTGTTTTCTTCAATGTTTGTTCAATTTTGCTTTCCTTTTCTTTCCCTTTTCTTTCCGTTTTCTTTCCAATTTCTTTCCAATTTCTTTCTGCTTGTCATCTGATTATGTGATCAACAGGGACTGAGCAGACAAACTAAGCCTTCCTCAGGCCTTATTCCTGAGCAAAGAAGTCTGAGGAAGGGCTGATCCATCTGCTCAGTTTATCTCAGCTGCTCAGCTGATCCTGAGTGGCATTCCCTGGTTCAGTAGGCTTCAAGGGACACCACTTATGATTAGCTTAGGGGCTGAGCTGACCTGAGTATCCTCTTGACTAATTCTCCGCAGCATCCCTTGGATGGATCACATAGGTCCAGCCTTTCCTCAGGCTTCATGGCTCCAGAATGAAGCCTGATGCCCATCTGCTCAGCTATCCCTCAGTGGCATTCCTCAATCAGAAGGATCCAAAGGATTTCACTGCTCATTGGCTGAGGGGCTGCTCATCTAGTCCTCAGGGGCATTCCTGGGAGAAGGATCCAAAGGATGTCACTGAGTATTGGCTGAGGGGCTGCTCAGCTGCTCAGCCCTCAGGGGCATTCCTGGGATCAGAAGGATCCAAAGGATGTCACAGGGACTAGCTGAGGGGCTGCTCAGTTGATCTCAGCCCCTCAGTGTGAGCAGCTTTATCCAGGGGACATCACTTAGGATTAGCTGAGCGGCTGAGATAAACTGAGCAGGGGGATGGCTCTTTTATGAGGTTTCATTCCTTAGCAAGGAAGTCTGGCCCATCAATGACCCAGCCAGGGGATGATACTGAGTATTTCCTGAGCATATCAAATGGGACGGCCCCTGTGCAGGCCTTCACTAAGAAATGAAGCCTGAGGAAGGTGTAGTTCATGTGCTCATTGTAATTTTGACCAAATTGCTGAGTATTCAGTGACTCATGAGCTGATCCTGAGTACTCATCTGGACTCAGTTATTGCTCATCCAAGATGGAAATGAGCCTTCTCAAGAAATGTCAAGCAAAATGTGAGCAAAACAGGCTGATCACCTGAACACAACCAAAATTGTGAATTGAATGAATCTGAAAGAAAATGAATCTTTTTTGGAGACTTCAAGAAAGTCTACAACACTCACATACATGTGAGCATCAATTTTGGCCCCTGTGACTGTTTTCATTTTCTATTGTTTTAATTGACGTTTTCTTTTTGTGTGGTCATGTGAACAGGACACTTTCAAGGACCAGGTGGCCGAATTCATCTTACGCCCTGATCTGCAGGCCTACAGCAAGAGTGTCGCAGAGGATCACACCACGATGGTTCAAAGCTTGGAAGTGCTGACATTTGTGTGTAAAACCCGCTCCAAATCTTCCTATCAAGGTTCCTTTACGGTCGCTAATTACATCATTCTTGCAAAGAACTTTCTCAAAGGGCTTAAGCCGGAATTTGTAGATGAGCATTGCCCTGGTGATTATGTTGCAGGGGAGGCGTGTATTCCTGGCACTGTGATGTACTTGTTCATCAAAGAAACTTTGAAGAACCAGCGCAGTAGGGTCCGCTCAGCGGTGAGTTATTCCTGAGACCCACTGTCAAGTTGACCAGGCTGCTGATTATTTCCTTGCTTATCCATCAAGCTTCTGACCAACATCCTTGGTGTTGCCGAAGGGAGTGCTGTCAAGGTCCCTGCTTGCAAAAACATTGTACTGCAGGTAGGTCTCTTGATCGTTGACCTTTGTTTAGAGGACCAAACTGACTGACGATTCTATCAATGCGACAGGTGGCCAGAACGTTTCTCCCTGATGTGCGAGCTTTGGAAGACGGCGACGCTTTGACCAAGTTGGGACCTTCTAAGGTGAAGAGGATAATCTTCATGGTAAGCGTCCATAGGATTTCACAGGCTGGAAATCATACTTATGACAGTGTTTCCTTTGCTGCTGTAGCGATATGTTACAGTTTACTACTACGTCAACCAAACCGAAAACAAGAAGCGCTGCCAATGGACCCTCATGGTCGAGATCCTGGCCGAACTTTGCGAGAGACCAGCCGGCGATGCCTCGGTGTAAGTTTGTTTGTCAAGGAGATTGTGCGGCCATTCGCTTCTGACCTTACCGATTTGCATACCTGGCAGGTACTTTAAGCAAGTAGCGCGTTATGACCGAGAGGCTTTCACAGGCAAGCGCACTTGGGCGAGTATTAAAGCCTCCGGGGCGCTTCCAGCCCCCTTTGTGGATCAAGTTCTAGAAGCTGCTCGAGAAATTAACGCACTTGCAGCCCAATCGGGTAATGGTGATGAGGTTGGGGCCAGTACCTCTGGTAATCAGGTTTCAGGGGAGGATTTTGAGGCAGATTAAGACAACCCTTCTCAATGGTAGATAGATAGTTTAAAGAACCAAAATATGTTGTAGTGCAAATTATTGATGTGTTGACTACACCATTGTTTGTATCAATGTAAAGAAAATCTCTAAGCATAACCTCCGCTCTCTGCAAACCGTGATTGTGGACTCTGGAGTGAGTTTATGATGTGTTTGTGCGCTTGTGGTTGTGTATCTCGCGCGCGCGAGGGCGGAGGAGGATATGTGCCTGCCCTGGTGGTCGGGCGTGTTCAACCCGTCCACCTGACCTGGTGAGCAGGCGTGATAGGTGACACGTGCCGCTCACGAGGTGTACACGGTGCAACTCAGTGACATTTACGAGTTCACCGGGTAAGGGCTCACGTCGGCATCACATGCCAACTGGACGTCAAGACCCTGTATTTACTCCGCACGTGAATTTGACACGGGCACGCCCTGCAAACGGATTCCGCGTGAAATTCACGCGACAACCATTCAGTGGTGTACCAATTTGGAACTTTTGGGGCGTGCCTGGGCGCGACTTTTTTGCGCTTTTTGCGCCGCGCCCACAACATGATACATGGGGGTACACATGTATGAGCTTAACTAGATTTAACTATATATTGAGTGATTTATTGGTTTTTTGGCAAATATGCTAAGTATGTACTTAACTAACCGGGTTAGGTCTGGACACGCTGAATGGCAGTCGTGTCTAGGGATGTGACCCGGACCCGGACCCGCCTGGCCGACTCTGCCTGACAGTTCTCACAGAGCTGACAGTACGCTCCCGGGGCTTTCAAACCTCGCTGAAAGACGGTAAACTTGGCCCCGCAGAGGCATTGGGCAGCTCCGGCGCCCGACCTGGCCGAGGCGCCGGCCATGTTTCCCCCAGCTATATCTCACCAAAATCCGTATACAGTAGGGCTGTGACCCGGCCCTGGAAGTTCAGGGCCGGCCCCGGGGCTCGGCCCGGCCGCGAGGAAACCCAAGGGCCTTCAAAAATGGTTCAGAGCCAGGCAGGGCGCGCCCTGAACTTGAGGCCTAGGGGCCAGGCTCACGCTCACACCCAATGCCCCGATGCCTCGTGGCGCCACGGCAGGGCTCAGGGCAAGGGCCGGGGCCTCGGCCTCGGCCATGCCCTGGCCCTTCTGTGTGATTTTGTGTTCTCTGAGCCCGTTGTAGGCGAGCTGGATTTGTTCCGTCTTTGCGGCAATATCATGAAGGATGGTGGCATTATAATGTGTATAAATTGTTGAATTGTGCCATGTTTTTAAGGCCATGTGTGGCATAGGCCATGGCCCTGGCCATGCCCTGGGCCACGAAAAAGTCACCGGGTGTGAGCGTGAGGCCAGGCAGAGTCAGGCTTAGGTTTTGGGCACAAAAATCATGAGTTGTACAGCTTGGGAAGATCGGCAGCCCCGGTGCCCGACCCGCCCGAGCGCTCTCAGGGCGCCTTTGTAAGTAAAACACCTGACGTTCTGCGGCCCCGGGGCGCGGACCGCGAGCTCTCCAGGGGTCGCCGGGCAGACTCGGCCGGGCGGGGCCGGGTCCGGGTCGCAGCCCTAGTATACAGGGTGGGAAGATCGTATTCTGACAGACCTAAACCGTGATTGGACTTCTAGAATGCCCTGCATTGCCACTCTGGTGCGCCCTGGTTGGCCCTGCGCATATTTTGAAGGTACTCGGGTCTACCCAAGTCCGGGTTTGACACCGGGTCCGCCCCGTCACACTCAGGGCCGGGTCACAGCCCTAGTCGTGTCACATGCTTGTGACAGTGTACAGCTGTATACATATAGAAGGTGTGCATCAAATTTATAATTTGTGCGATGTCAGCCTATGTATGTCAGCTGATCTGATTGTGATGATCACCAATAGAGTTTTTGAATGAATTGAGTCTTTTCCTTTTAAAATGGCCTTTAAAATAGTCTCACACCCTGTGTTGTGTGAAATGTGATGGAGATTGACGGTTTGGCAAGCTGTCGGCGTTAGAATTCCCGACTTTTGAATCAAGATGAATATCAAGATGATGCCTACCACCTGATGCATTCCATAATATCTTTTGTATCTATGATAGTACATTTGTATTCCCAACAAGGTCGTAACTTTTCCTCAGACTACTATTTCAAGTTCGTTCCGACAAGCAAGCAAGGAAGGAAGGTTTCATCAACATCGATCACTTTTTCGCCATACGATTACCTCTTTCCGGTCCAACCTTCGATATCCCTCGTTCACCACCCTTCTTAAATGTTTAATCTACCTGCGGTATCGTCGCCTGCCCTTTCCTGCTTAACTCCCGATGTGCCAGAGACCAAGAAAATCCGCCACCGCACACCTCGTGCTTGTGACACTTGTCGGAAGACGAAGGTAATGTGATTATAAATATGTAATGCTTTTTGGTATCTCCTCCAGCTGACATGAGGGTTGCTTTTTGTTAAAGATCAAATGTATCATCTCTCAGAATGATAAATCCACCTCGTGCGAGACTTGTAGACAGGCTTCTCGGCCGTGTACGTTTGAATCTGGCGGCATAAAGCGAGAAAAACCTCCAGCTAAACGGTCTGCGACCATCTCTTGATATGTATATCCGAGTTCTGGGAATTGGTCTAGTGTGGCGCAAAAGTTGTGATGCTGATTTGTCGCCTGTTTTTTGATAATGGCAGTGATATCACGCAGCTGAATATGAGAATCAAATCCTTGGAAAAGGTCTTGGGCGTATTAGCGCCGGATATCGACTTGAGCGTACTGCCTCGTTCCACCAAACAAGCCCAGGCGATAATCGACAGTCTCAAGAAACCAGATTGCCATCCTCCCGAGGCTTCGACAAGAAGGCTTACTTCCGCTGATGCGACGAGCGTATCTCAATCAATTCAAACCTATGATCCCTTGTCTCAACCGAATACCAACACCCTGTTGACTCCCAAGGGTCAGGCTGATACGTCTTCGGGTACAAAAAATTGCAAACAGGACGATGTTACCTGCTCAGTATTTGAACGCTGCACGCAACTTCATCATCTTCGTCATGCTGCCAATGATCAACTCTATCCTCCTGATGGTTTAGCAGAATCGCTTATTGAGCTTTACTTTCAATGTGTACATCCTCATGAATGCATACTTCACAAAGGTGAATTCATACGGCATTACAGCCAAGGTCTAGCTCAACAAGACTACTCCTTTCGAGCGCTCTGTTACGCTGTCTTTGCTGCTGCATCACGCTTTTCGTCCGATGACCGAGTCACGTCACCAAAGGAAGGAAACAGCGGCGAAAGACAGACCGCTGGGGCGCTCTACGGTGCTGCTAGTGGCTTTTTCATCACTCCAATGACCCTACCATGTACTCTATTTGATCTACAAGCCATGGCCGTGTTATCGTACTTTCTTATTGGATCTTGTAGCCCGATGACCGCATGGTTCTCGGTCCAACTGTTCTTGAGGAGAGGTATGCGAGCTCATTTGATCAGATCTTGTGGATTTATATTGATGTATCAATGATTCTCACACAGCGCAAGATGTCGAAGCTCATCTCGAGAGCAGTTTGCATTGGTCAGCCAACATTCTCACGGACCAATTGAGAAAAAGGGCATATTGGTACCTATATGGGAGGGACGTCCAGCTATGCATTTCGTTGGGGAGAGCCTCATGGGTGCGGCAGTCGGCTACTATTGGTCCGTCAGATAACTTTCATTTTCTTATTCTGCGTCACTCATTGACTCTTTTACATAATCACCGTTTTCAGATCATCCTCTCATGATCGATGATGAAACTTTGAGTCGCCTTTGCCAAGAGCACATAGGTGAAGTATCAAGCGACGCCTTCAAAGATTTTGCACGTAGCCAGACACCTGGTTGGATCGCAAACAAAGCCTGCTACACACTGCGAACCAAGTTTGGGGCTCAGCTCAAGATGTTGTGGTCAATCAAGGTTGTCCCTGAGAGTCAGGCATGGGACTGGGATCAGAATCTAGTGAAACAGATGGCGCATGCCATTGATGCTCACATTCAACACGAGATACCTCTAGGCGCGAAATGGAATCCGCACGCAACTAATGAGTCTGACCTCGTACTCACTTCTCGATTGCAATGGTCAGTACATTTCAATAATGCGTATAACGACATGCGTATGTTCTGATAGGTGAATGATGTCTTTTCATTTGTCGGTGGCCCAGCTTGGCATCATATTTTCAAATAACCACACATCGTCACTTGGTTCCTAGTGATCCTTCGGAAATAATAATGTGTCTAGCCGCATCCCGAACTTTGCTCGCGGTTTTGGATAACCTCAGGTGTCGTGGTCTACTTGAGCTCACTGCCACCTACACGCCATACTTTGTTTGTCCCATCCTTCGAATCACTTTGGGGACTCTTCTCAGCACTCATGCATTTTTATACATCCTGCCTATCTCGTCCTACCAGATCACCCCGGCTGCTCTTACATTTCTATACTCTGCATGCACAGAAAGCAACTTGTTGTCAATCACTGAAAGAGAAGCTTCATGGGCGGATTTACATCGATGCAGTAATATCTTGGGAGCCTTGGCGCGAACGTATGTTGACCAACCTATGCTGATCTGACCGCTCGTGATTTGCATCAAGTCAGACAGTCTAATCTAACATCTACCGTCAATCATAGCACATTTCAAGCTGATAAGTTACAGGCCTCTTTGAGTCGCTTGGTGAAAATGTGCATCGATGAACAGCTTTTTCCTGGCATGGCAACTCCGACCTCACCTGAATCAAAACGTGATATCCTTTCTATAAATCCTGCCCTCACCATCGGCGACCCAATCACACCCAAGCTGCCTGATTCTACAACGACAATCAACAACCCGGACGTTTTGTCAAGCGTGATGTCATCTCAACCCGACCTCTTCAATACTCCGGTCCCTAAGCTTGATGCATCGTTTTTTCAGTTCCCCGGAAAAGGCTTTCAATCATCTTCGGCATTATTTGCAACCCCTGAATGGCTAGCAGTTTTGGAGTCAGTACCTCGACCTTCGGCTCATGAATTAAATAACTTTTTGGCACCATCTGCCAACTCCTTGACGCATGCGACCTATGCTTGAAAAGACCTTGGACAGGACAATCAATTTCGCCTTTTGCAAACATCCACGGCTTAATCATATATGTATTGCATCTGGTTTGGTCTCGTGATGCTAGCTGAAATTTTTGTGCAGTTTCCTTCTGGCATGATACAAACAGCAAAGCAAGGGTCCCTTACTCTGATATGAAAAATGAAGGTCTATTGCACGTATGTAATATGCTAGATTTACCTTTTAGTTCTAGGCCTCAAGATCTCTGGTATCAAGTCTCGAATTGATTAAAAATTTGTAAAAGTGATACTTGCCTCTCTCTATGATTCACATCGTTAACTTCCTCTTTACCATCATCTTTATCTTTCTATCTTGGATCTTAGCTAGCATTTTTGTTCTTGGTGTCTGAGATACGTCAAATTGTGATACAAATTCTTATCATGTCTTGAGCGTTTTTATCTACATACTGCATGTGTTCTATCTGTATTAATTCTCGCATTGTCTGGTCTCTTCTGTTGTAGATCTCATCCTCCAACAAATTCTAATTTCTTGAGCTCTTCTATTTCGAAAATTGTGGGTGAATTCTTGAAGGAACTGTAGAGCACTGAAACAAACTCGAAGGCTATATTGTACACCTATGGAAATTGAAATTTGAATCATCTCAAATGTTTTAGATGAAAGGTGAAAACACCATAGATTGGGCATATATGCTAGACGTGCTAAGAGTCCAATCCGAGTATAACTTGGTACAGTCGGTGATTAGCGACCGTAGTTTAGGTTTCGTTTCACTTGAGACAACTTGAAAGAAATGACAAGGTGAATTGGAGACTCAACAAATGGGAAAGAAGAGAATAGAAGAGAATAGAAACCGTAAAATAGTTGAAAGTTAAAGCTGTAGATAAGGTAGGAAAGATGACATCAAAGCTTATGAGCAAATGACATCATAGTTCTCAAAAAACGGCAAAGCTGGCAACGGGCATTCAAGATGGATCAGGACCCCCACGTTATATGCACTTGCAATAAATGATATCTGTTTGATCAGAAAACAAGTTTTATGTTGACATTGCAATATGCCCTCTTTGATCGAGCTTGCACTGCATACATATTTGAAGACATGACAAAAGGAGGTATCAAAGTACAAGAGCTGGTCTCGATCTGTATCGATGCGTTCAGAAAACCACCATGTGTCCCCCGAGGGCTTTGTTCTAAGGTCTATCTCTACTGACATCAGCTGCCAAATATACATCCCATCAGCTAAAAACAAGGCAAGTCATATATTTCGATCCAGGTGAGCTTTCAATCTACGTTTTATTTACAAAAAGAGCTCACAATCCGGAGTAGAAGTTTAACAACATAGGAGCCTGCTCTTCCAAGAAAGACGATTGAATATTCAGTGTTGATAGTATCGATGATATGCATTGCTGGGTAAATACTGAAACCTCATCAAGACAAAAGAAAACGATGAAAAGTGAAAAGTACAGGGGAGATATGCAAGTAAAGAAATCTATACCAACACATTTCCAGTTCAAAACGCACCATGAAGCGAAGAACATTCTAGAGAAGACATAGGCTGACATTCCAGCCCAAAAAATACACAAGTCCAAAAGACGTGTAGAGACTATTCATAACCAAGAGAACATGTACCTAGAAACGCAAGTGAACAGTGAGAAGAGATATGATATATGCATCGAATAGCTTTCAAAGAAAATCAGTTGCCAAGTTAAGTAAGGATCCTGGATTTATCACGTATCAAATTCATATACAAGGCGACTCGAGAGAGTTGTACTTCGATCTTCCTGTCCAGTAAGACTGTCTGGAAACACGAATGAGACAAGCGTCATGGACAGAAAGTAGCGGGACATTTGAAGAGGGCAATGGGATAAGATGAGATTGTAGTTGGACGTTTTCCAGTGATCCGTCTCATTTGATTGCAAATTTGGATTTGTCGGGCAGCCAGGTTACCAAATCGGATCTGTTTCTTTATACAATAGCACGCTCAGCCCAAGAAAGGGACTTGAGCAAGTAAAGAATCGGAAATCGGGGTTATCAGATCATAGCTCGCCGGCGATGGATTTGACGAGTCGTGGGTCCAAAAATCGCACGAACTTCCAGGGAATTGAAACAACCACGAGTCTAGCTGAGTAGAAAGATCAAATTGCCGAAGGGTTGGCGGCAACGAGAGAGAGAGTTCAGGAAGATTATGCAATTCAGCCCTAGGAAGTGATGGGTTAAAGATTTGTGGTCCCATCTCAAGGCTCGAGAAGGCCCTTTTGCTGCTAAAGGGATCAAGTGTTGAGTCAGGAGATAGGGTACTGGAGTCACGCTTGGTTTTTTCCAGCAAGTCCGTCGAGCCCGGGAAAAGTTGTTCGTCCATGCAGGTCTGGACCATATGATTTAACGACGTTTTGAGCTTCTCGGCTTGGAATGTACTAGTCACCGATCAAAGTTTCGATCGAATATCGGGGAAACGTCAGCGCATGAGATTGTGACAAGAGAAAAACCTCAGTCCACAAGAGTATGAGGACTCACGTAGCCGCCAAGGAATCCAAGATATTGATGCATCGATGCACGTCCGCCCAAGCATTGGCTCTTTCACTGGGTGACATAGTGGAAGATCGTGAGTTCATGCAAGCGTGAATGAATGTGAGAGCGGCCGGCGTGATCTGATTAAAATGATAAAGGGATCAATCAAAACATAATTTAAGGATGATGAAGACTGCAAATCGGCTAACTAGATACGGCGTGTAATGGGCGGTAAGCTCGAGTAATCCGCGGCTCATGAGGTGATCCAGAATGTCCACGATGCGGCTGGATGCCGAGATACACACTCTGATTTCCTTCGGGTCCGTACGTATCAGATGACGGTGAATAAGGATTTGCTGGTATGACAGCGCGCTAGCATCATTTGATTCACCACAAGGAAACCAACACCTCAGAAAAGGAACTCCAATGATCTAATTGACAAAATCAATACAAGTACTGACCATTGAAATCTGGCAACGTTGAGAAGATCTACTTCATCATGAAATTCTGGATTCCATCTAGCCCCATCCGGTGTCCCGCACCGGATGTATGTGTCGATAGACTCGGCGATCTCGTTTATACGAGTTCGGTCCCAGTCCCTTGACTTATCTCCAGGTACGGTTTTGAGGGACCAAAGTTTTTTAAACTGACGACCGAAGAGTGTATTAAGATTATAGAGAGCATGGTTGGCCTCCAAAGCAGGAGTTGTGAGATAGAGAGTTTGTTGTTTTAAAGCAACCTGCTGGATAAAGCCAAATTCTTTGCCACTATGTTCCTCGCAGAACTGAGTTAGGCGCTCGTCGTCGATTATGAGAGGATTAGCTAATGATCGAAACATTTTGATACAGAAAGACTTGCTCAGTTATCACTGATCAAAAGAAAGCCATCCCAAACGTAAAGGACTCGAAGACATACTGATAGTCACGCTAGAGTTTCTCATGGTAGAGAGTCGACCAAGCGCTACAGAAAGTTGTGCCTCGCGGAAGAAAAGACACCAGAAAGCACGTTTGCGGAGTTGATCTTTCAAAAATGCAGTCTCCCATCGCGGGGTACCTGCGGTGTGGACGCCTTCACCGAGAGCTATACCAAAGCCAGTCAGTCAACCAGCAAGATATTAAAAGACTAGTGTCGTGAAAGAACAGTTGAAGGGAGTCAACATGCCTCTTCTCAGGAACGTTCCTAAAATGAACCAAGCCGTCATTGGGCTACAGGCGCCAACAAGAAAATATGACAACACCGACATAGTCTGTAAATCGAACAGGGTACAGGGTAAAGTCAAGGGAGTTATGAGGGGAATGACAGCCGCGCCATAAAGTGCTCCAGCTGCTTGTCGATCAACAAGAGCTCCTTCCTTGGGAGGCGCTACTCGGAAGTCGGATGAAAAACGCGACGCAGAAGCGAAGATAGCATAACAGAGCGCTCGAAAAGAGCAATCCAGCTGAGCTCGCCCACTCTTATAGTGCCGCATGAATTCTCCCCGGTGTAGGATGTATTCATGAGGATGGATCTTTTGAAAATAAAGCTCAATGAGCGATTCAGCAAGATCAGGCGGTGGGTAGTATTGTTCATCTGCCAAGTTACGAAAGTGCAAACATTCCACCCAGCGCTCGCTGATTGGGCGCTCCGGATTGGAAATGAGATTTGCATGATTAGGTTCACCAGGATCGTCGATGGCTTCCCAGCCCTCGGGCAACGAGCTGCCTTTGGACCCAATCTGATCAAGATAAGACCCAGCAGGTAATTGGAGTTGAGCCATGGATTGTACCATCTCTTCCATACTGGTTAAACAGTCGAGTATAGATTGAGATTGGATAGGCTCCTTCGGGCTGCATTTCACGTTCATCTCGGGTTTGTTAAACCGGCTTGAGTTGACCATGGTACGAGCTTGATCGGCGGTACGTGGTAGCGAACTTAAATCGATATCAGGAGCTAGTTTGTGAAGAGCGTATTCCAATACTCTGATCCTTGCATTGAGTTGTTCAAGATCACTGTAATTGATAGGGTTTGTCCGGTATCAGAATCTTTGATCTCAACTCGCTGTGTACAAAGTTCCGCTCAGTTCGGAAGCTGAAAGGGTACCGACTGCTTGCTAGGAGGCCTTTCGCGCTTCACGCCGGTGTAGTCAAAGGTACAAGGACGAGAGGAATTTTTGCAGCTGGCGCATGGTGCAGAACCAGACAAGATACATTTGATCTATGTTGAGTATGACGCAAAGTGAATCATATGAGCTTATCAGAGTAAAACAGCGCAGATGGGTTGAGAGGATATATGTAACCTTCATCTTCCGACAAGCATCACAGGCGCGATGATTGGTTCGCTTAGAAGGCTGTTCATCTCGATGTGCCTCTGACATTTCAGAAAGATTCTTGGATAAACAAATGATTGAATGTCCGAATCCGGGATAACGAGATTGAGTGTGATGACCGATGGTTGAATATATGTATCTCGAGCAATGAAGACGGGATCTCGAGTTCAAGGCGAGTAAGAGAAGTGGATGAAGTGGATCGTTGAGTGATAGGATATAATCTAAATCGAGTTTGTTAATCGAATTCGCAAGATCATGGTTAGTGAATAGGAAATCGAAATGGTAAAGCAAGTCAATGGATTTAATCAATCTGATCTGAATATATACACCAAAATGTATGCTGACACTCACTCAACATATGTACAGACATACATACATATGTAGTATGTAATTCACACGCAGCTCATCAACACATGTAGCACAATTCAGTGTGTTGCTATGTTGACTCTTTGAGGAATACAATTGATCAACCATCCTTCAATGAAGTGTGATGATGAACGCAGTCTTGACTTGAAGTCCACCTTGAAAAACTCAACTGTCAGCTAACGTATGACTATGTACGGAAGAGAAAAAAATGGTACTGAACATCAGAACATTTAAGTCATGTCCACTTGTATTTTTACTGTGCAAAAGATTGAAAGAAAGTCAGTATGCATTTTGCACAAGATAACATTCTTGAAATGTTCTTTGGTTGATTCTTCTCAGTTAACTTTCACTGGGGCGTAACAATTCAATGTGTAAGACCAGAGCGGAATCTTGCAGGTTGCAATCACGTATTGTTATCATGAATATCACCTTTTGTTTGAGCAACACAAGCTGATTTTACTTTGGATTCAAATCTGAAAGATTCCATTTCATTTTACAGTTAAATCAGAGGACCAAATAAGCAAGGCACCATAAAGACGATATTCATTTTGAACGGTTATGTACACAACACAATGGATATAAAGAGTATGTACTAAAAAGAAAACAGTGGTCAGTGGGACTTTCACTTTGATATCATTGTCAAGGACCACAAGTTCAACCTTTCCAATAGAAAAAGACATCATTGATTTCCAAAGTTTGATTCATGCCAAGGAAAAGTTGGACTTCTCTGAGTAGTCGAAGCAGGAATAGAACTTTGAGATACTTGGGTAGTTTGTATATAGTTCGGAAAGACTGGGGTGTTGAACATCGATGAAGAACTTCCAGGGAAAAGAGTTGAATTGACTGTTGGAAAGCTTGGAGTGGGATCTAGGTGAAAGAAGGAAGCGTCAAGATGGAGTGGTGGCACAAAATCTTCATTAAATCCAACATATTCTCCTCTAGCTTGAACCGGGTATGATCCTTCAGCGGTAGGCGCATACCATGCCTCGGAAAAACTGGCAGGGTCGGGTGGGTGTATGTCAAAAGCTGAGTAGGAGAGGTATGATGCTGCGTTAAGCTGCTCGGATGGATTTGAGTACATCCCGCCGCACTCTCGAGGGATGTGAGGTGATGAGGGACTTGTCAGACCTGCAGTTGAGCCAGCCCCTGCTCGACACTCGGGAGGTGGCGCATGACCAGGTAGGTTTGTCTGGTCATACAAGGCGCCGCTTGGAAGTGAGAGCAAGTGGTCAAGGATTTCTTCAAATCCTTCCATCGAAGTTGGTTGTTTTGTGGGATTATGATGTGAAGCAGATGATATTGAGGTCGAAGATTGGCTCGTAGTATAAGGATTAGCCATTGGCACTCCGCATGGCTTCGTAGTTTGCTGATGCGCCGGAACTTGCTGATTGCTAGCGAATATGTTAGGAGTTGATTCACCAACATTACTCCGTCTGGTTTTCTCGCTAGCAGTCGCTTCATCTGTCATAGTTGAGCGAATTTCTTCGATGCGATGGTTGACTAGCCTACTCAGGGATTCGTGCAGCTGCTGAGCTAGAAAATATCTGACAACAAATAGCAAAAAGGCATGTTCAGTTCTCAAACCACTTCAATCAATGAAGGAAACTATCAGGTAGGCCTCACTTAGGAGCCATTGCAGAAAGGAGATTGATAGCCCGATGGACATCAGCCCATGCCTTCAGTTTCTCTTCCCTCGGAATTTCATACTCGCGACGACATGCAGCATAAAGACATATCAAAGCAGTAGGGAGTATCTGAAATATCAAAAGTTAAGGTTACTTAGGAAACAGTGTAATCAAGTTTAAAGAAGCTGGAACTCAACCCTGTAGGGTGCCCAATGAGCCGTTAAAGCTAGTAAACCTCTCTTATGAAGTTGATCAAGGATATCAAGATTTGTGCTAGCTGCAGCCGTACAAACTTTGATCTCTTGGGGGTTATCATTCAAAAAGTATCGATGTGCCAGCATTTTGATATTGAGAACAAAGCTACATAGATTGATGTACACAGGCAGATGCTGGTCAGCTTTCTGAACCTTGTGTGTGAATCGGTTTAGAGAAATAGCACACCTATTGAGAAAGGCTGTCCAAATTAGACTTTTATCATCTTTTCTGTCAGGGTTCCATCTGGCCACTGAAGGAATCTGATGTTCAATGTAATGATCAATTTTGGCAGCTAGATCTATGAGCACAAGCTTTGGAGAATCCCACACGTCTGAATCTGAACGAGGGAGGACTTTGTCAGGTTTGATTGAGAAGATTTTGAGAAAGGGAGCTGCAATAGTCTTCCGAAGGCTCCAATAAGCCGTCGCGCAAGCTAAGTACGTATCACCACTCATTTCCCAAGACATGTTTTTGTATCGTTCTTGATCCTTTGATGTTACTTTCCCCGGATGTTCGGAGTGCATCTTGGTCAAGACCTCGTCTGGGATGAAGAGAGGTAGCTCTAATTTCGAGGCGCAGTTAGAAATGTGTCGGCTTCATCGTCATAGACATATCTTCACTCACGGACTGTCAACTCTAACTCCAGGATGGTCGATGACCTTCCAAGAGACATGCAAAGCAATCGTTCAGAGACCACCATGTACCAAAACGCGCGTTTTCTTAGCTGGTCCTTGAGGATTGAAGTGCGCCAGCGAGGCATCTCCTCTACATGTACCCCTACATCTTGAACTGGAAGATAAAAGATGATATCAGTCATGAAGCTTGTAGGAAAAAGTCGTGTGCTTAGTTGAATCTTACCGCGTCTAAGCCACGAGCCAATAACTAGCCAAGCTGATGTCGGCGTACACATCGAAAGGTAATAATGAGTAAGGATTGCCATGGCTTGAAGGTCGAACAGGGTACAAGGAAGTGTCATAGGAGATATCGTTGTGACAGCCGCAGCAGCATAGCGGGCTCCCGCGGTTTGAGGACTAGCTGGTTGATCCGGTAGACTACACAACACGCGCTCGTCGGTCGAATGAGGTGAAGCAGCCGCGAACATGGCATAACACAACCCTTTGAAGGTCAAGTCTCTGTGGATCAACCCAGAACCATATAATCCAAGAAAGTTTTCTTGGTGGATCACAATTGTGAAAGGATGAACGTGCGAAAAGTATATCGATATGAGAGAGTGAGCGAGATCTGGAGGCGGTAAACTTGTGTCCTGGCTAGTCATTGCTCGATGCCTCTTTTCGGTCAAGCGTTCAGCTAAAGACCGAGATGAGTCTTCAATCATCGAATCGAGGTCTGGGTCGTAAGAGGCACTCTGAGTGAAGGAGGTAGAGCCTAGAAAAGGCAGATTTCCCGTTGATCCAAAGTAACGACCTTCGCGCAAAGTTAAGTTGGCTAAAGCTTCAGTGGCCTCCTTCACCGTCGCTTGTTCAGGGTCAGTAGATAGTAATTCTGCTGCAGGTTTGTCGGAACCTTCGAGCACCGCAGCCAATTGAGGTCCACGCCGACTGAGCGTCGCATTCGCTATCCGCCGAGCTTGATCGGTAGTTCTTGGTAATGCGTGTAGGTCGACATCGGGGGCGATATGACTCAAGAATCGTTCCAATGTGTCAATTCGTCCTTGCAGAGCTTGAATATCTCTATGATCATCTGCGATAAGTGAAATTGCTATCAGCGAAGGTTGATTTCAAAACGCTCACTTCTTCGTGGGAGGCCTTTCGCGTTTGATGCCAGAGTCCTCAAAGGTGCACAATCGTGCTCCAAGAATACAAGCTTCGCATGCGTGGCTCTCCAGCACACATTTGATCTGCCCGTGATTTGGATGAAGTTTTGATCAACAAAGTTCGTATGCTTCAAAGAATGGAAACCAAAAGTACCTTCATTCGCCGACAGGCATCGCAGGCACGAGATATTCGCTGACGAACCCGTTTCAGCACAGGCTGTCCGACCGAGCCGGGGTTGTTAGGCTGGCTAAGAGAAGTAGAAGGAAGCGAGGGCCCTGGATGAAAGCGATCCGCCTCTAGTTGTCTGAGAAGCGCCAATGTTGGAGGAGTCTGACGAGCCATTGGATCCGGGATGCAAAGTCCGGTCGGCAATTCAAGAAGTTGCGATCTATTGCGATACCTGAGACGTCCGTAAGACTTTCCTTGAGAATGTACTTTGTTTTTGACCTGTTAAAGTTCAGTAAAGTATGTATTGCGCTCAAAGTGGCTGAATCGGAATGTGTCGAGAGGGGTAAGGGCTTCTGGTAATTTCGAAACGAGATCGGGAGGCAAGTTCAAGTTGCGTCAGCGTGTAGCGGTAGAAGACTGCAAAGTAAGCGTCTTCTATCTAGCCAGAAGATGAAGCCCGGATAATATCAGAGCAGTCTGAAAATGTCCTTTTAAGGGTGTATAACAGGTTATAACCTTGGGTAGTTCACCTCAAAGACCCTGCATGCGCCGAAAAACTCAGAATAACATCAAACCAGAATGTTGATCCAAGGGAAGTTTTATATGTTTTTATAGGGGCAAATGACGGAAAGTAGGCGTCATAGAACTCCGTGGGTCACAAGGTACTCGATTTCTTAAAGGATTCATCGAAAAGCTTATCAAAGCATCAAAAAGGTTATCAAAACACTAGGTCTTTTGGCGCCCAGCCGCCCCGTAGCTCAGGGATCTGCCATAATCAAAGCTATCATACTAAATCAACATTGTGTCACATACCACAAGAACAGTTGGGTACGATGGAGAGTGGCCGCAATCGAGCTCAGTCTACATTTATTAGGTGTATGAAAGTGGGGAGTCCAGGCGGAGCCCTACCGCAGTGTGACTTGAAATCAAAATGAGAGGGTAGGGCTCAGTAGGCAAGGTGCAAATGCCGAGCAAGTCATAACAAAAAGCTCAGACATGGTATTTTTTTAGGATCCCGGTATCCCCACCACCCCCCCTTGGTAGCCCCACCACCCCCTCCCTTTCACAGCTAGTGAAAGCCTTACTTACCAGTGACACAAGCTGTGACAATTGTCCAGCCACACTGAAAGGTCCCTGGATTTTGTTTTCTCAAGTTTGCTCGGTATAAATAGCACTTAAAACAATTTTAAAGCACACATCAGCTAATCAACCTTCCCAAAAGCATTTAGCTTCTACTGGTTCACTACCTCCTCATGAATCAAAAAATTTGATACCAACTTCTAGAGAATTTGATGCGACTACTAGTTTGGGTTACTAATTTCCTTGGTCTTGGATTGGTCGTGCATATGAAGATTTTTAAGATTTGCATCATGCTGTGGGTCTTCAAATGTATCACTTGAGTTCGGGCCTCTTACTTCAGTAGGATTCTTTTAACTTTGTTTACAACTTTCTGTCCTTTGTCTCTGATAGCTCTTTTTAGCTGGCACAGTTGATGACACTCTAAAAAAATCGATCGTTCTGGTACATCGATTTTGAATTGGTCTGACTCACTGATCTTCAATCTTGGTTTTCAATTGGTCGTCTTTTTCAATTGGTCGGAGTAATATTGATTCAAGTCATCCAGTTATTCATATTCAATACTTGATTCTAATTGAATGATGGAATCACTGAGCCAAGAGGATCTTTGGTGAGCAAACTTGAGAAAACAAAATCCAGGGACCTTTCAGTGTGGCTGGACAATTGTCACAGCTTGTGTCACTGGTAAGTAAGGCTTTCACTAGCTGTGAAAGGGAGGGGGTGGTGGGGCTACCAAGGGGGGGTGGTGGGGATACCGGGATCCTTTTTTTAAGTGAAGGACCTTTTCCGTTTATATTCGAGTACATAGATTGTCACAGCACAACCAGCCACTATGTAACACAATGCATGGCCTGATCATTTTCTTTTCCTCCATCACTAGAAAATTTCAATGCCTGCCAAATCTTAGCAAAACCCACACTTACCAAGTTTGTAATCAAACAACCGTCAAGAATGTGGTCTGACACTAGCTCAAGGCTAAACTTGAACAGCATAAAAACACTCTCAGTAAGTTTAGGCTAAGAGAGGGTAGACCCGGATACAAGACTACTGCTTGACTGAAGTCCAGAGTGTCAGACTCCTTTGATCAATCAGATGGCCCATTTAGGGGATACAAAG